ATTGGATCTTGCTGCTTTGCATCTTAGCTCATGGCCTTTTTAGAGAAGTGAACTTGCCCGCGCCGCCTTTGCTTTCCCATTGCTCGTGCTCTGTGGGGAGCAGAGYCCCTTCTGCCGAGGAGGCGACGGGAGATGGAGCCCAAGTGGACAGAGCTGCGGTGGAGCTCAAGGATCTTTGTTATTGGCACTCAATATCTCAGCAATTTCTGAATCTTCTTCAGTTCTTTCAAGCTATATACCACCTTCCAGGCTGGTCTGGTACAGACATGTATATATATTTGTGCTAAAGCTTTTCTGCCTTCCGTGGAGGTCATTAGCTCCTAGATGTAGGTTGAGGTTTCCATTGCTGCAGACCAGGGCGTTTCATGCCCACTTTACCCAAACGTCAGTGGCAGAAGCCAAGTGGGTTGAGGACATTCTCATGATGGGCACATCCAGTCCCGAGGCTGCGGTAAGAAAACACTGTCCTTGCCTTGGGGCTAAGCTCTCTTACTAAAGAGATAGCAATGAACCAAGTCCCCACCACTCTGAATGTGAGAGATGATGGTTAATGAGCTTTTTTAAGGTGTTGTTGATGCCGTGCAGGATCAGGGGTGAAAGACCTAACAGGACCTGCCCCTTCTCTGAAATGAGTTGGTTTTTTTTGAATTCGGTGAAAATTGAGCAGGTACCTTGGAAAATGGAATTAACCACTCGCACCTGAGTGAGATGCATTAGGAAAGTGCTCAGTAAAATATACGGGAAAGGAAACAAATAGATTACTACAGAAGTGCCTTGAATCCCAGAGGGTTCAATGCAGGCTTGCATGCCTGCTATGGAAATGGATATGCTGGCTTAGAAACATAATGAGATTTCTATTTGTTTTGTTTTAAAGCTGTTTGCAGAAGTCTGGCGGGGATTTGGGATGTTTTGCACCGGCACAGTTAGCTGCCGTGATGCTGATTGCTGTAGGAGAAAGAAAATATTCACCTGTATCTGGAACTGAATAGAATTGCAGGGTGTATTTAGTTAACGCATTCCCTTGAGGTTGTGCTTGCTGTAATGAGTCGGGTGATGAGCTTTGGATTGAGCCAGCTTGGAGGCAGCAAAGCAGCTCCGGCAGGGCTGAGAAACGCTTTCTGTGCAGGCGTGCCTGGCCTGAACAGCTCTCCGTGAAGATGGGAACGCTCCTAATTCRTTTTGAAAGCATCTCGAAGTAGCCCTGCTATACAGTGAAGGAGCATTTTGCTCCTCCAAAGAGCTCTGGCAATTATTTTCAAGTCTCTGCTGCTGACCATGGCTCTCCATGTGAATAGTATTTCAACAGTCACAACTAACCTTTTAAAAATGCCGTATTTTATAGATTTCTGAGGGTGTAGCAGTGTTGTCCAGATATCTCTTAAGCTTTATCCTAAGATGAGGGCACAAAGATGAATTTCATCAGGAGAAAAAAAAAATAAAAGAACTATTTCCTGCTCGTTATTTCCTGATTATTTTAGGGAGGAAGTGAGTAACACTGTATGGAAGGGACAGCTCTTTTAATAAGACAAATTATCCAATAACTTTTAACTTGGAGGGGAGGCTTCCTTTTCGGAGCTTTGCCTGGGATGTCACTGCTGCTGGAGGGACTCCTCTGCAACCAGACTTCCTTGTGTCCGATTTCCCGGGATTTGGGAGCTGTGTTTCTCCCATTTCTCATCTCGGTGGCCACGGGACGAGGAGGGGTTTGTGCCATTGCACCAACTGGCACTTCTTGCAGGGCATCAGTGGGGCAAGCTCTGGTGCTGGCATCTGCCTTAGCTTTGTGTGAACAAACCCCAACGGGAGAAACCGATCTACCCGTGTCCAACCTGTAGCACCATCTGCTTGCACTAAAACAGGACCCTTTCTAGGCGTTCCTCGTGGTGGGAATTCATTCCGCGAGGGCTCCGGGTGGAGGTGACGATGGGGAGCAGAAGAGCTGCAGGGCTGGTGCAAAAGCAGAGCCCATGCGCTGTGGAGTTGCCCGCGAGGTGAGTGGCACTGGGTGAAGAGCATGGCCCTGGTTGTCACTTCCACAGCCCCTTAGTCATTCCAGGCTTCTCAGAAAGCGCTTTCGGGCATTCTTGTGGTTATCAGACCTTCCTTTCTGCTTTTGAAGGTGTGCATGGTGCCGCATTAGTCAGAGCCATGTGCAATCGGAGCCCCGGCCCGCCGTGCTCGTCCCCATCCCAGCGGCAGCTCCCTCCTTTCCGCTCCGTGCGGGGCCCAAGCTGCCCTGTTCTGCTAGCCTTGCATGCAGCCCTTATTTTCTATGTCTATTTTAATGCATTCCTTTGCATAGGTCTSAGTGGCACTTGAAGGTTCTCAGTTTCTTTTTGGGTGTTTTTGTGTTTCTTCTTTTTCAATTTTAATTTCTTTTTTGTTTGGCCATGGAGACAAAATTCATTTCTCTGCACAAAAGCAGTATTGTCCGAAACAAATGGTGTATGTTTGCTTGTAGAAGCAGAGACGAAAAGTTGTTAGTTCCCCACTTCTATTTATTTAAAGCAATTCTTTGGGGGGGGTGACTCAGTTCTGCAAAAAGCACCAACAACTGAACAGTTGCCTAAATGACCTCCTGCACGGTAACCCTTGTTGCTTAGTGTCATTGAAAAAGTGGCATGATACTATATWTTTATTTATTTATTTCCTGGCAATCGGCTCCCTTTTTCCTATGCTTTCCGCTTGGAGTATTGCAGAATTCCTTGCAGAGAATCCCTGGGTCCCAAAGTCCGAACCGAAGCCTTGGGCTCATGGGTGGCGCGGGTCCCTGCGGTGCAGCGGGGGCTCTCTGTGACTCTGGGCAGGTTTCAGCATCCTCCCTTCGCGAGGGCTGCGTGGGCTGCTGCTTTCGTCTCCTCTGCTCTGGCGTGGGCTGCTTTTGAGTGTTAGCCTATAATAAACCTATAGCGAGAAACGGCCCCAAAGGTGCTTTGTGCACATGGCTTACCCCCAGCAGGAAATAAGTTATATGGATATTATTTATTATTTTTTATTATTATTAGTTATATTATATTGATATTATATTATATTGATAAAGGCTATATTGAAAAAAATATGTAGTGGCCATTGTGACTGATGGGATGAAGCAGCAGAGAGCTCTTCAGCAGGGCAAGTCCCCTGTGTACACTGAATTACGAGGATGTGGCAGAAAGGAAAGAGCTTAGAATCCCATTTTAGCTGCTTTTGCTGTTTTTTTTTTTCAATGCTCTGTTTACAGGAGCAAGGGATGAGCCCAGACTGGTGCCAGAATATACTGAATAGGAGCAATGGGTTTCAATTCATGTGTCATCCGCGTTGCGCAAGGGGTTGAGGCGCAGAAACTGGGGTTTTTTTTTGTTTCTGTTTTACTTTTTAACACTTAGTGCAGACAGAAAAGTCTCTGTGAGGAAGATGCTGCATTTCAGACCTGGAATTGCTGAGTGGAAGCGAGTTCCCTTTCCAAACCCTTCCTTTAGGAGAGCTGTTCAGCGGGATGGCCCTCCTCCCTATTGCATTCCCTCATGCCTGGTGCCTTGGGCAATGGAAGCTGCTCCAGGTGACCAGGATGTGCTTGTGCCTATGGGTACGTGCCCGGCAGGGCTCTTATCCYGCTGTTTCAGCAGATGTTTCCATACGTTTTTCCCCCACTACATGCTATTTAGCAATATTGGCCCGTTTTTATTGCCATTAGGCGCTTGGTGCAAACATTATGCATGGCCTTTGGCAGCTCCGCCTTGTCCCTGGGCTTCATTAAGCTCCATTAGAGGCATTCATTCCCCTGGCAGGAGCAGTCTGATGGAGCATTTAAGTGCTGGCCCTGCATCTGGTGGATTTATAAAAGGGTGTCGCTCTTGGGATGTCAGGAATACAGGTYTTGGAAATGCTGCAGTTCCTGTTTACCATCTGTTTCTATGACCCCTTCCTAGCCCAGCTCTGTTCCTCCAAAACCCAAGGATTTCTAATGAAAACCGTTTGCCTTACGGTGGGAGAGAGGAAACCCCAAATTCTGGAGGAGTTTATGCATTTCTTGACCTTCTCTGTGTGTATCTCGGGAGCAAACAAGCCCTAATGAGGGTGCGTGAGCAGATGTTTGCAAACTTAGTCTTCGGGAGCATTTCCTAACCCAGGCACGCAGCGAGATGCGGAGTTACGTGTTTCTCTGCAGCAATCAAGATAAACTTGCAAAGCCCTCGTGAGCAGAGGGAATTAGCTTGATCTAGCAGACAGCTGTGTGCAACCGCCTCACTTACTAAATATTTCCATCTAGGCTTGCAAATGAAGAGCTGTGTTTTAGTCGCCCGGGTCTGGGTGGCAACGCCGAGCTTTGGCCGTGCAGAAACGCAGGAGACCGTCCTGTGCTCGGGGGTGACTTCTGAGCCAGTGCAGCAGCTTCTCTTAGTCAGTGCTGCCCGGAAAGCACGCAGCAAGCTGCGTTTATTATCATAACAGAATTAGTTGTGGCTTGTCTTTTCCTCCCCGCTGCTGCTCATGGAAAAATCTTGCGGCGATGCCATGCAGAAATGTGCTGGAGCGTGAGCTAAAACCGAAGAATATCTCCCRAACGGAGGGCCTGTCTGTTTGGAGCGCTCTGGGTGGCGTTTGGGTATTTAAAAGAGCTTTTCTGGGGGGAGAAAGGAATTTTCCAGTTGTTTCTTGAAAAATGAAGCCGTAAAATCATTGCATACGTAGCACACATTAAAGCCTGTGGAAACACCAGCTCTTGTGATTCCACCAAGAGAACTCGATCAAAGCTGATAGCATCAGAAATGAGGTCAGTGGAAGGCTTGATGACACTTAAAGCATGARCATTGCATTAAGGTGGCCTGCAGTGTGATTAAACCCTTTTCCCCGTAGGGTGAGCTGTCTCTTCTTCCCCTTTGTAGTACGTCCTGCTGATGCATAAGAATAATACATAATAATGCACAGATGCTAAGAGCASTGCCGCTTCGCAGGGAGCAGATTGCATCCGTGGGCTCGGCCCATGCTGCTCTCTCACCTGTCCCGTTTGTCCTTTGCAGGTGGTTTCATCCCAACATCAGTGGAATCGAGGCCGAGAAGCTGCTGCTGACCAGGGGGGTCCATGGCAGCTTTCTGGCTCGGCCCAGTAAGAGCAACCCGGGAGACTTCACGCTCTCTGTCAGGTGAGCAGGCAGRGGCATCGGGGATCGGAGGACGATGCTGTCCTGGACTTTGCAGCGTCCTCTGCTCTATTTATGTATGTGCTGAGCTTCATGCATCATCTTTAAAGTGTTTGGTGGTTTTTGGGACCAAGGGTGGAAAGGAGAGTTGCAGTTTAGTGGATACAGCGGAGCAGATGCAGAGGGTGCAACTCTCTGAAGGTGGCTGGAGSGAAGGGGCAGAGCAGCGTTGACCACTGAGACCCAAGATGAAAAGGGAGGAGGTTGTGTGGTCCATGCAATGCTTTGACCTCCTTCAAAGAGCCTCCTGTTTGGTGCCTTGGAGCAAAACACATCCTCAACAGCTCCTCTAGGCACTTCTCCTTTAAACAACCCTCACTTTGTTTAGGAAACTCCACTGAGTTGATGCATCCTTTAACGTACCCCGTGTTTAGAGAAGCTCTGTGCAAACAACAGCTGGGACGAAGTGTTCCCACCTGGCGGGGTGGGAGCAGCACCAGCCRCGTCTGAGCCTCGCTCCATCCCTGGGATCCTCGTCCCTCTTTTCCTGTGTGCTTGGATGCGACTCCGTGAGCTCACCCATGATCTCACAGCCAGAAGTGGCTGGGAGTTAATGAGGGAGACAGGAAACGCCGTCTAATTAGAGTGGAAAATAGACTTAGTCACTGCGAGCTGCCTCAAGCGAGTGATGACAGTGAGGAGAGATGTGTGAAACGGCTGCTGTAGAACAGCTACTGCTGGCCAGGATGTCCCCAAAACACTGCTTTTATTGCCGTTATTTATTCCCTTCCTTGTGGCACTGACTCTAGGGGCACCTTGGTGCTGCACTAGATGTTTAACAACTATATTGTTTTCATCATAAGCTCCAGCCAACTCCCGCTATTAAGGCATGGATGTTATCTTAATATCGCATTATTAAATCACTCCACCGCAACCCAGTGGCCTGGTTGTGGTCCAGGGAAAAGTTTGAGCGACTCTCACCAAAGGAGCGCTAAGAAGTGAACCACTGGGTTTTGGAAGGAAAAAGGAAATCCTTTAAAAACGCATCCAAACAGAGGTGTCTGGGAGAAACCTTCTTTAGGAAAAACAGCCCATTCCTCCTCCTCCTCCTCCTCCTCCTCCTCCCAAACCCATCCAAGCTCCTTCAGGGATGCCTGCAACCCAGGGAGGGAAAAGGCAGCTCCATTTAATTGCGGAGAGGATGTGGGCTGAAAATCAAGCCGGAGATGGATTTTTGGCTTACGAGACCACACACCAAGTGACCTGCGTGCTGGTGCTCCTCCAGATGCGTCCCTGAGGAGGAGCTAGAAACTAATATTGTAGAAGTTATGAGAAAGTTTCCATGAGCTTTCCATTTTTCTCTTTCTTTTTGCCTACCCTTTTATCCCTTGCCTTCACAGCAAAAAAAAAAAAAAAAAAAAAAAAAAAACAGGACTTCAGGACTTTTTGGTGTCTATTAAGAAAAAGAGGCAACCTGCATGGAGAGGATATTATATGGTGGAGGAATGAGTAATGTCCATTGCCAAGGGCTGTGCTTTAGAGCTTTTGTTCGGTGTGATGTTGGTGTGTCAATGCTAGCTACTTAAGACCAGCCAATAGATCCAAATTATCTCATTTTCTAGGCACTCCGGCAAGCATGTGGAGCGCATCCATAGGGGTACAGGAAGGAAAATGGTCTGGCAACTTCAACCGAAGTGTAATGATGGTGGAGTGAGGTGGATGTGACCTGGACCTGGGCTTGTAGGATTGCTGGGGAAGCTGTTCTGGATGCCCAGAGCAGATCCTGGCAGTCAGGGTGGTTTTGGTCCCATGTGTCAGGTCTTCAGTGCATGCCTGGATCTGCCGGAGAATGTTTTCTCAAGACCAAGTATTTAGAATCGCTTATGAGGAAAGTGAGCAGCTTCTTACAGGTTTGGCCAGGTCTGGGTAAATAGTCTGAACAAAAGGAAAAGGCGTGTTGAAAGTTGGCCTAAGTGGTTCTTGGCCTGTTGACACAGCATGAACGCAAGTGCCAAGACAGTTGAGAACTACCTATTAGAGACCCTTGTGTGCTTGGTAACTTGGTCATGATTTATGGGAATGGATCTTATCTTGGTCTATGGGATACAATACAAAGTGCTTCTGAGTAACAGAATCTTGTCTGAGAGCTGCTCTCTGCTCCAGGGTGGTTTCCCTGTTCTTAGCTGGACTTTCTCTCTCAGTTTTATGCAGAAGGCAACGCAAATGCTCTCTGGGTGCAGGGTGAGACATGTAAGGGAGCAGGATATTATGTCCTATAAAATACATACCCTGCTAAAGGCGGCAGATCAATAGGATAGATGTGTTGCAGTGTTTGAGTTGCTGCCTGCAGATAGTACGGATGGGGCTGAAGGAAGAAAGTTGGGTCTGGAGAAGAACTGAAGTCTTGGAAGAGGCTCTTTTCCCAAGCAACTGTCCTTGTGTCTCATCAAAGGGTCCCTATTAAGACCTTATARTGCGGTACAAATACGTAACGAGAGACAGAGCCCAGTGCTGCCTTTTCCAAGCTAGGCCAGCCAAGGAAGCACTGACTTGGTGTTAGAGCTGGGGGAAAAATGAAGACTCCACAGACCACCTTGCTGCAAAATGTGAGAAGAGAAGGGATGATGTGGTGTGGAAAGGGATGCTCTAGTCTCCATGAGATGAAACCTGAGAGCAGGTGATGCCTGGCCCCCGTGCCAGAGAAATCTGGCTCTAGACAGAGATCGCAGGCTGAATGCATCTGGGTGAGCGCATGACTAGTGCTGCATGGCTGAGCCAGTGTTCCTCGCTTCAGATCCCTTCACTCATTGGACTTGCAGCTGAAATAACTGCTCTGTTTTGCCCACCTTAGCTGAGCAGTTGGGCTCAGGCAATGAGCTGGCTTGCTTCATGCTGCCACTCATGAATTTAAGTTGACATCTAGCTATAGTCCATGGCATGAAGTGTTTGAAACCCATTCTTGATGCCTAGAGTTCTCTTGGCCATACCTCTGAAAATGCATGCAAATGTCAATTGATTTTTTTTTTGTTTTGTTGATTATTGGTGGTTAATAAGTTTTCTCTGTGAGCCCAAACCACCGTTTAATTGAAACCAAACATTCAGCCAAGATGCTAAACTCTGTGGGAGGCTCTTCCTGTTTTGCATAGAGAATATTTGGGGGTTTGGGGGTTGGTTTTTGCAGCTTGTCAGAAGGGGGTCACACATACATGCTGCAAGGTTCTGGGTTTTCTGTCTCTGATACAGGAAGAAAAGGCACACAACCAAAAAAACTTAGGGGCATGCAACAGATAGACAGATTTCTGATATTTAAAGCAGTTCTCCAGAGTCTTTTTTTTGTTCACTGAAGTCAATTTTGCAAATTTTCTTGTCAATTGTACTCCCTTGCAAAGAACAGCAGTTTGCATCCACACTGCGGGACAAAGTGGTATGGACTAAAACCATGAGGTTCCCATCACCAAGTGGGACCCTTTCGCTCTAGGAAGCCTCCTGGATATGGTGCCGTGTCCCTGTACAGGAGCTGGGTGTCTCTTCRTGGGCAGCTCAGCCTGCCAGCACAAAGCAGCATCTTTGGGCATCTCCCTTGTGCTTTCTTTCCTCGGGCAGTGCAGAGAGGACCCTGTTTTGTGGATGCTGCTACTGTGGGATCCAGTTTAGAGCCTGTAGGGTTGACGCAAGTTTTAGGAGAAGAAATGTAGGGAAACGGGAGTAGATCAATGGCCTTTGTGCTTAGTTTGACCTCGAGGGCTCGTGGCATMAATGACCCTGCTTTTTCTCTTTGCTTTTCATTCCTGAAGTGCTGAAGGGCTTTGCAGGGGGGGAGGCTCTGTGAACCGAGGCTTTGTAGCTCTTTAATGGGGTTGCGATGGGATGAGCTGTACAAAGAAGGGAACTTTTGAGCCTCTGGCCAAATGGCAAGAACCCAGGATGTGTCTGGTGCCGTCTGTGCTGCACAAAGAGCCTTCGTGTCCAGCTGCTGGCGCGAATGGCTGCAGCTCTTCATGTGCCAACTCCTCCTGGAGAGGAGACCCTGTCAACAGAGCCCGGACCAGGCCTGGATTCCATAGCCAGTTTCCTTCCAGGGAGTTCTGTGCAAATCCTGGATGCAGACATGGTCCAACTGAGAAGTCTCTGCTCATGAAACAACTGGAATTGATGTGGCAGGAGAGATCTGAGCCATGTGTGGCATGTACCAGGAGAAGTTCTCCGTGTCTCCCTAAATCCTCCAAAGTGCCACTCACGGCAGCTTCCCTGCTGCTTTCTCTTTCTGAGACCTTTCTGTCAAAGCGTGTGGTGGATCTTGGAGATGCAATGGGTATTTTGTCACCCCCGCCTGTTTGCAGCTTACTAACGTGCGGTGATGGAGACGCTGTGGATGCTGTCAGGCTGTTTGCGCTCTGGTGGGTTCTGCTGAATTTGTGCTAATTTGCAGTCCCTTCCATGTCCTGCTCAAGTCAGTCAAAACACCCAAGAACCACAGCATAAGCACCGACCACAATTACTGGTTGCACACTGGCAAGGTCCTCTTGAGCAGACGTTTTTGCTGAGCAGGGACCAGATACCCAGTGCCACCCAGCAGCCCAGTCTCTTGCTGCACTGACTTGTCACAAGGGTGTCTCCTGCCGCAGAAACCTCGCAAAGGGAGAGCCCAGAGGCTCTGCTTTGGGTCTAGCTCCTCCTCCTGTTTAACCCTGCGCACAGACCGCTGTGGCCTTTCCCATTTCATGCCCTCCAAGACGGTTCCGGCACCGCCTGGAGCCTCCCGCTTCTCGCTGCCCCAGTTGCTTTGACAACACATAGCAGGAGGCTGCGAGCAGCTCGGCATGGGCACGTTTGTCCTTTCCCTACCAGGTTTACCAGTCTGTGCCTGACCCAGCWCATCCGTCAAGCCACGGGCTCCCATCCCTGCCTCCCAGCTCGGGAGGGCTGCTGCTAAGTGCATGGAAAATGCCATTAAGCYGTCTCTTGGAAAGGCTGGCGTGCCTTCTGCGGAAGGAGGCTGGGAGCAGAAGCACCAGGGATGCTGGAGAAAACAGATGGAYGTCCTAGATGTCCCACCCGTGGCCCCTTGGGGCTTGGGAAGCGGGTGGGGAATGCATTAACCCTTCCTGCACTGTTTGCAGAGGAGGGAAAGCAGCCTGGTGAATGCCAGGCAACATAYTGATTCGGAAGACTGCTGGTTTTTAAACTAATTAGCTCGATAGTAAGTGCTCCGGGGTGAGGAAGAGGGTTTGCCATAAAGCAGAGGGAGGTCAYGGTCTCATCTGGCCCAGAGGACATGGGGTTTGGGAAGTGGAGGGGGTGGCAAAGAATGAAKTATTCACTTCTGTCTCTGAGACTGGGAGTCCAAGAGGCTAGAGCCAAGTCCTACCTACATAACCTTGGCCAAGGAGTTTCCAAACCCACCCCTACCTGCAAACGTGTGGTTAGCATGAGCAGCATCAGAGTAAACGGAGATTGCCTGGTGTCATTTAAGGARGCAGGCGTTGCTCTGGATGCAGCTGGGACTGCGTTCCTCCTGGTCCGCGTTCCCTCGTGCTTACCCCGTTGTGCTGTCCCCAGGAGGAATGACGAGGTTACGCACATTAAGATCCAGAACACGGGCGACTACTACGACTTGTACGGCGGGGAGAAGTTCGCCACGCTGGCAGAGCTGGTGCAGTACTACACGGAGCAGCAGGGCCTGCTCAGGGAGAAGAACAGCAACGTCATCGAGCTCAAATACCCTCTGAACTGCCAGRATCCCACCTCGGAAAGGTAAGCTCCAGCAGGGCTTCACTCCTTCCTTTTCTCCAGGACTTTCACTCCTGGGCAGGGTGACCATCCACATAGGGATTCTGTCCTCTGAGCTGCTTCGGACCCCACCACAGTACCCAGTTCTGCCCAAAGCAGTGTGTTTTCAGGTGATTTAACTTGTGTGATCCAGAAGCTGCACGTCTATGGGATGCTTTTCCTTATTTCTCTCCTTGGAGGCAAACAGAGGCTGGTTGGGAAACAGTGAGGCCACGCCACTGATAGTGGTGCAATGTCACCACGTGCTGACAAGCTTGCTGTAGCAGCTTGGAGCACAAGCAGCACAAGCCCCTGGGCCTACAAAGAGTCCCGAGCTGGAGCCTGTTACGTATGTGGCTTGGCTTTAAACGATGCTGAATGTATGCAAGTGATTTCTGTAGAAATTACTGGAAAAAACAAAAGTCTTTCTCCACCCCCTCTAAGCCTGTCACTGCTGTCTGTACCCGGGGGGACACCCTGTCTCTTGCAGGGTGTCCCTGTCTCTCCCTGTAAAACGCAGCTCACRTCAAGCTCGGGATGTCCCCCCAGCCCATTAGTGGTCTTTGTGTCACTCCTCCGCTCGTGACACTTCAGTGGCGCTTCTTCCCCCCCGTTCCTCCCCTGGGATTTGAGCCGCAGGAGCGGCAGGCAGCTGGCAATGCCGTGCAGGGACCCTGCTGAGCCTAACTTTAGCAGCCAGGATAAGTCCCGCTGCCCGAAATGGAGCGGAGAGGCTCCTTCCGAGCTGGCCCGTGGAGGGGCTGGGAAGTCCCAGTGGTTCACGTGTTCCTGCGCCATCAGGAGGGTTTCTCATCCCCGACCGCAGCGTGAACAGTGGACAAGAGCTGCTGGCACCAGCAGAAGCTCCGGAGAAGTGGAAAGCCCCTTGGCCTGGGTTTCCCCCTCTTCTCCCGCCAAGGAAAGTCGGGATTGGCGAGTCGGCTCCCTAAGGGCTGCACTTCCAGACCACACATCTAGCGGCACCGGGGAGAAGGGAGATGAAATAAGGGCCCAAGTCCGCTAAGTAAATGAAATGACGGAGGTTTCCGAATATAGCGGGATGTGTCAGAAGAGCTCCCGAGACCTGGGGCTCAGCAGCAGCCACCGTTAGCACATGTAGAGCTTGTCTGTCCTGCTCCCCGTAGCAGTAAAACTCAGGCCCGAGATCCTAAAGCCTTCCCACGCCTGCAGAAAGTGATTTTGTTCCTTAGAGGTCCTGCTTTGACCGTCTTTGAAAGGCCCCGTGTCACTGCCTGCTGTTCTATGAGTTTCACCCTCTTGCAGACGCTGCTGCGACGTTGCACGTGCCATTACCTTGTCTCTGCAATAACATCTGGAGCCCCTTTGAATTCTTGCTGGCTTGCCTGGTAAGCCGGGAGCCGGCATCTTCCGAAGGGCATCCTGCGGAGCATGGGGACTGAAAGCTCCAAGACCAAAAAAAAACCAAAACGAGGTTCCTGTTTTGCTCCACAATTATTATTTATACCTATGGAAGGCTGTTGCAATGTGGTGGATCATGAGGATCTTGTTCCTGCCTGTTCCTCTTCAACACTTTGCTGCTTGGGCTGCAGGACCTCCAGGAACATGAGGCCGTTCCTGAGCAGTACCAGGGGCTTCCAGGGAGGAAGGTGGTGCTGTAGCCACTGATCTAGCCTTATTTTGGGGGGAAAAGAAGAGGATTTCACAACAAAGGCCCCTTTGGGTTATGCCTTTCCCAGGAGAGCCTGCCAGGCTCTGTGCCAAGCATGCTGTCATCACCATCTGCAGGAGCTGCAGCTTATGGGCAGGGCTGGCGTGCTGGGGAGGCACCCTGCATGCAGCAGAAAATCTGTGTTTGCAGAAAAAGCAAATGCCCACGCTTGGTGCATTTCCAAGCTGACCTTGCTCTCCTTGCCTGCTCTCCAGGTGGTACCATGGGCATCTCACAGGCAAGGAAGCGGAGAAGCTCCTGACGGAGAAGGGAAAACCAGGTAGCTTCCTCGTGCGGGAGAGTCAGAGCAAACCGGGAGACTTTGTCTTGTCGGTGCTGACAAATGAGGACAAGACGGAGAGCGGGGATCGGAAGCCGCATGTGACCCACGTGATGATCCACTACCAGGTGGGACATGTGCCCTCCTTGCTCCTCCATGACTGGAGCTCCTGGGTGCTCCAGCTGGGAATTGCACGCTGAGTCTTGCTGTGTTTCCGTGGTTCTCCCTTGCAGCCAGACGGGAAGTACGACGTGGGAGGAGGAGAGAGGTTCGACACGCTCACAGACCTGGTGGAGCACTACAAGAAAAACCCCATGGTGGAGAAATCTGGAGCTGTGGTTCATCTGAAGCAGGTAACAGCTGCTGTAGCAGAAAGTTGTGGTTTGGGGATTACACTCCTGCAGGAACCCACACATCCATCCCTGTTTGTTGGGGAATTCCTGCCTCCAGGACCTCTCATTGGTTGTTTATTGGGCTTGTCCAGTTCTCCAGTTCTCTGTTGGGCATTTATTGGGCTTGTCCAGTTCACAGTTGGCAGCAAAATCCCTGGTTCAACATTCAGGGCCTCAGAGATGGACCCAACTCCAGCCAACACTCCCGGGGACTCAAGACTTTAATTTTCCAGGGGAAAGCTCCCCTTGCACCAGTGACAGTGACTTCTGTCTCCTGTCTTGCAGCCATTCAACGCGACGCGCATTAACGCAGCCAATATTGAGAACAGAGTGAAGGAGCTGAACAAAATGGCAGATCACAGCGAGAAGGCCAAGCAGGGGTTCTGGGAAGAGTTTGAGGTACGGAATGCTGCTGAGCCCCATCCTAGGAGAGCAGCTGCCATTATCTTCATGGGAGCATCACGGTTTTCCAGTCTGTAGACCTCCTCCCTGCCTTCTTTCCTTCTTCCTTCCTTCTTTCCTTATTTTTTCTCTTTCACTGAATTATTTCCCACTCTTTTTCTTTTTTTCATTGCTTTTTCTCATGTCTGAGGCAGTTTCTCCTTCCCCCRTGTGCTTTTTTGTTCCCTACAATACCCTATGCATGTTGTCCCCCCTTAATTTTTCCAGTAAGCTGCTTCCCCACTTCCTTTCTCCACTCTTCCCTGCATTATGAAGCCGAGCAGTTAGCTAAAAAAGCCTCTGCCTTTGGCTCTGAGTCGCCTTGTGTGCTCAGAACCGTTTGTTCCTGTGTGCTCTGCTCCAACAGATGCTCCAGCAGCAGGAGTGCAAGCTCCTCTACCCCAGGAAGGAGGGACAACGGCCAGAGAACAAGGCAAAAAATCGCTACAAGAACATCCTTCCCTGTAAGGAACGCTGGTTTTTGTTGTCATTGCTTTGTTTTCCTCCACTGCATTTCCTGCAGCTTCCTCTGGGTAAACCTGCAGATCTTTCTGCTCTTATCTGAGTGGGAAAAATGTTGGCAAGGTCCTGTTGGAGCACTCCAGTTAATTAATGGAGTTAATTCTCCATCTCCCTTTTATCCTTGTCCTTCCCTTTTGCCTAGGAAACCAGTAAATTACTCTCTACTTTGTGAGTCCAAACGTGCTTTAAAGCTCAAGTTTAGTTAAAAAGTCATATGGAGCAAGAGCTTCCAAAGACGACACYGAGGAACTTAAGCTGAGCTTGGTCCGGAATACTATTTATCACTAGACTTTCCATCCTAATTACTAGATTACAGCATCCTTGTGAGCCRGGCAGTGTGGGTATTGCCAGGTGTCATTATGGAAGTATCGCGTTCCCTCTTTTGCAATAGCCACCCATGCCATGGCAGGGTAAGAGCCTTGCTGGGAGCCACSACCACCACCGCCGCGGTGGCCTCAGCAAAGCCCAGCCTTGCTCCTGGGCACCGCCGTGCCCCTGTGCTCACTGCGGGCTCTCGTCTCGCTCAGTTGACACCACGCGGGTGGCGCTCCGAGACGTCGATGAGAGCGTGCCTGGCTCCGACTACATCAACGCCAACTACATCAAGGTACTTGGGAGAGGGGAGGTGGCATCTCAGRGTGCCTGCAGCCCAGTTCAGTGTGGTTTTTGCGGAGATTGTAATGATAGTGCAATTCTGAAGGGATCGGCCTGCTAGGAACCATTGGGTCCAGGTCAAGCGGTTGATTTTTCTTCTGTTGTGTCCCAAGGAATTTCCTAATTTCATCTATTTTGCCTTGACCTAGGAATTTACCTCGGTCCCTCCTTTCTTGTTCAGGCAGTCCTAGGGGATAGACCCAGGCTCTCTGTTATTGCTCATTAGCTCTAAGGTCAATTATAATCATCGTCTTCAAGCTAAGAGCAGCTTGAAGCTGAATTTCTAGCACTGTTGCTCTCCCCTTTGGGAAACCTTCAGGGTGAGAGCTTGTTATAAAGGTCTTTCTTTGGATTATTGACTTTTTTTTCCCCCTCTCCTTTGCTCCTCAGGGCATCCCTGAAGACGGGAGGAACTCAGAGCACTGCAAGGTCTATATAGCCACCCAGGGCTGCCTGCAGACAACAGTGAATGACTTCTGGGCCATGGTGTATCAGGAGAACAGCCACGTCATCGTCATGACCACCAAAGAAGTGGAGCGGGGCAGGGTGAGCACTCGTCGGGCACAGTCCCCAGGCACGTCACCTGCTCCTTGCACTCACCCCTTAGACTGCACACAAGGACTAGTTCCCCAGGATTCAAAATGGAACGTTTTGAAGCAGCAGCTGCTGCATGCACCAAACGACGTTGCTACTAAGGGTTCATATTAGCATGTGAAACAGAATCAGTGATGAAATTAATCCTGGGCAGTCAGGCTAGGTCTGTTATCCTGCCTGGATAATGGCWGTGGCAAAGCGATGTCTTGTATGAGGCTTGGGCTAGCTGGAGCTTTCATCCTTCGTAGTAGAATGGTCCTTTCCAGGGCAGCCCCAGGTGCGAGGAACTGCTTTAAACCTTTAAGCAGGGGGTCGGCACCATGCAGCAGACCCCCATGTTGACCAGGCTGTGCCCTGTCCCTGCAGAACAAGTGTTTCCGCTACTGGCCGGACAAGAGCAGCACCAAGGAGTACGGGTGCATCTGCGTGCGCAACGCGGGCGAGCGCGAGGCGCAGGGCTACTACCTGCGCGAGCTGGAGATCGCGCGCACCGACCGGGTGAGTGCTGGGCTGCCAGGCGCCCAGCGGGCACCGCGATGGGCAGGGAGCTGTGCCTGCTCTTGCTTGGTGGTCCCCTTGCTTGGGCGCTGTCCTATTTTGCACCAGCTTGGTTAATTAGGAGGGAAGGTGCAACCTGTTGGTCTTCTGATTGAACGACGGGCTTCTGCTTCCCGCAGGACGAGTGTCCCCGGCTGGTGAAGCATTACCAGTACTTCAGCTGGCCCGACCACGGCGTGCCCAACGAGCCAGGAGGCGTCTTGAGCTTTCTGGATCAGGTGAATCGAGCGCAGCGAAGCATCCCCGACACGGGGCCCATCATAGTGCACTGCAGGTAGGAACCAGTGGCAGCTGTGATCAAGCCTGCTAGACCCTGATCTGCTAGACCCTAATCTGCTAGGCCCTGGTCTACCAGATCCTGATCTACTAGACCCTACTAGCTCTCAGCTTTTGGCTCAGTTCATCCTTCAGCAGCCCTCCCAAGCCTGCCAGGCCTGACCAGGCTTGCAGGGCTGACCAGGCTGAACGTGGCAGCTGAGCTGCTCTGAGGAAACTCTCCTCCTCTAATGATTTTTTTCCCTCTTCTCTCTCCAGTGCCGGAATAGGACGCACAGGCACCATCATAGTAATAGATATTCTGGTGGATATTATACATAGGCAAGGTATGGCTCCCTGTTTAAGAGCTTTTTTTCTTTTTACAGCCTCATTCCCACTGCCCAGATCTCCCCCTTCCTTTCTCTCGAGCAGGTTTAGACTGCGACATCGACATCCCCAAGACCATCCAGATGGTCCGGCGGCAGCGTTCGGGCATGGTGCAGACAGAGGCGCAGTACAAGTTCGTTTACATGGCAGTTCAGCAGTACATCGAGGCCGAGCAGAAGAGGCTGGAAGAAGAGCAGGTGAGTCCTGCTCAACTTGGCTGGAAAAACCAAGGACCATTTCCAAGGACCATCTGAAACCTGCACCAAGGACCATTTCCATTTTCCTCCTACAACTCAACACTTTTCCCTCCGGGAAATAGATCCATGCTGACTGCTTCCCAGCTGACTTTTGGATCYGTCGTCTTCTCTCTCCACTTTGGGTAGACTTTCATTGCCTTTGCTTTCTCTTTCAGAGGAGCAAAAGGAAGGAGCGAGACTACTTGAATATTGGATATTCTCCTGTGGAAAAAGGCAGAGCCAAAGGGCAGCCCCCTTCGCCCAGAGCCCAGCCTGCGTAAGCTGAATGTCTTTGTACCAAAGCTGAGGATTTCCATGGCAGGGGAGGGAATGAACATAGTCCGAGTGTTTGCTGGACTATATCAGATGGGAAAGGCTAAAAATGACCCCACCGTGTTGTCAGAGATGGTACCAGCCTCTCCTGCTTGTGTTAGAATTTTTGCAGCAGYTTTTAGAGGGCAGCACCTTATGCAAGCTCCTTATACAAGTTCACCTGCTCCAAATGCTGCTTTTCCCCTCGGGGGAGCTCGGGAGCTGCGGTTGGGAAGCYGGGAGAGGGCAGCAGGAGGCAGGAATGGGGCTGCTCGGCTCCTGCTGCACCCTCTGGAGCGCMCACATCCTTGTGGGCACTGTGAGCTTCCCAACTCCCGCTGGTCCTAACCACCATAGAGGGCGAGAAAATCAGAACAGAGCAGTGTGGCTAGTCCTGTGTCTTCCTATCTACACGGCTGGGGAGGAAAAAAGAGCTTGTTTGGCCCATTCCCCCGGCCAGGCTCTGGGAGCGGATCCGGAGGAGCAAGGACGTTAATAACAAGGCTCTGTTTCTCGACAGGGTTGATGATGAGTCAGCTTCCGTGTACGAGAACCTGAACATCAAAAGCCCGAAGGTTTCGGGGATGAGTAACACGGGGCGATAAAGGAGCCGGAGGTGAGCTGTGCGGAGCCTGTACAGGTAGGAATGCTGCCCTCGATTAACCGGGAATGTTTACATGGCATTTACCCCTGGTGCTCTTCAGCTCGGTGTACATGGACCGTGGAGGCTCTGCCTGCATCGGGGAGGTCAGCTTTGCCATTTGGCAGAGCCTAAGGGCATGCGAGAAAAGGGGGAGAAAATGGTCTAGTGAGACCTCATTAAGAAAATCAGTTCATTTGAAAAATGCTACCATTTCTAGAGGAAAGATTGGGTTTTTTGGAGCATTGTGTTTCCAAGCTGTCACACTGAGACATGTACTACGTGTAGGAGAGACCCCATGTGTTGGGAATGTCTCAGCTCTGCCATGTCAATGCCCTTCCTATGGTTTTAACCATGCTCTCCTTCCTCCTTGTTTTGCAGTGCAGGATTTACAGTGTTTACATCCACCCTTTCCAAGTTCTGCCACTGTGGACAATATATAATTTTCCTGCCTATCTTGCCTTCTCCAAGCACCTTGGACTCAATGAGGAAGGAAGAAGCTGACTGCATCCGAATGAAATGGAGCCTATGCCTTAAGAACACGCCTCGCGCCAACGTAGTCGTGAGACAGAACTTACCCCGTCCTCCCCTGGTTTCCTGGGTTGATATTTATATGGAAGTGCCTCTGGACATTCATCGAGATTCAATTTTAATTTTTTTTTTTAATTTAAGATTCTTATTTTTTACATGGGATGGAAATGATTATTTGCTTAGGAGCGTTCCCAGGGTCGCCCGCTGAGGGTGAAGTGTCAGTCCACTTGAATGTTTCTTTAGGTCAATCATTTCTAAGCTAGGAGTATTTTTAGACTAAATCCTGGATAATTTTGCTGCCAGTGAAAGAAACAGAGAGTCTTGGCTGGGCCCAGCTATTGCACTTCTGATTCTTCTCCTTCTCCACGCTTTCTTTTGGCTGTACCAGCTCTAGCTTTCTATGCAACCTTTCCAAAGTGCCCAAGTGTGCAATAGTGTGCGTGTGTGCCCCAGAGATTGTTGGATTCATGGCAGGACTGAGCASATGTGGGTCTGAAAGCCCTTTTTGAAGGTGCCTGAGGAGCAGGAAAGCAGCTTGGGTTGTGTGCTGTGYGTAGCCGCCTCTAGCAAGTCCTGCACGCCCGGCTTCTGGGCTGAGCTGAAGTTTTTGAACTAGATCCCTCTACCTTTGGTAGGTTTGATCTCGCCTTGCTGCATGGCCTTTTCCCCCCCGCCCTGCAACTGTTTGACAAGACAAGCACTGGGGCTGCACAGGGGTCCTGTAGACACTCGTGATGTGACCAGTGCCATGAAGATGAGCGCCTCGCGGAGTGGAAACTTCCACTTCTGTTGGTAATTCTTGACTTCAGACCAGCAGCTTCCTGCTCTTCCAGCCTTCAGGCCTGCAGCCAACGTTGCCCAGGAGCGGCCTTTCTGCAGGATTTGTGGGTTTCGGGAAGGGGAACGTTGGGTCTGAGTTTTGGTGYCCAGAGCACGTGGGGGATCGTGTTAAAGTCCCTCGGGTCTCTGGCAGGCCATGGTAAGGGGCAATGGTGCCCACAGTGCTGAGCAGAAGGGATGCAACCAAAAGCACAACGAGGAACCTTGGCTGTATTTCCTGTCATTTGTCACAGGGACAGGAAACTGTTTATTTTTATTGCACTTTTAATAAATGTTAAATGTTCTGCAGGCTTTTTTCCTTTCTTTTCAAGTAGTTTGCTCATTGGGAAAGTGACAGGCAGAGAGCAGATGGGCATCCTGAATGTCTCCCGTCCCTAGACGGGGTTGTTCAAGGCCCTGCTTTCTTTTACCTTTTATCTTCCTTAGGCCTAAGCACAAGTGAGGGGTTCAGCTGCAGAATGGATAAAYTCCCAAGCTTTTGCAAGCACCAGAGTCACAAGAGAGAGTGCAGAAGCCAACCCCTTGWGTAGATGCTTTAATAGACTCCTAGGAACAGCCCCTGTGGCCCTTGATCCTTTCCAGATGCATCAGTTTTYATAAGGCTGTTGCACTGAAGATGCAGAGAAACTTATTTGCCTCCCTCCTGCCCTTAAATCCCACCAGCGGGAGCTGAAAGGGTGGCCAAGATGTGGCTAGCAAAGAGCTTCAGCTYTTCTAGAGCCAATTTGCTGGGTTTAGCCTCAAATGTACCTGCCGTGAAAGGGAAGAGCTTTCTCTGCCTCAGGCCCTGGCGAGTCCCTTGTGCCAAGAACCCCCTTCAGCCGGTGCTGGGAAGATATTCTGGGTGGGAACATTTTTTTGCAAATGTTTTGCATAGCCAAATTTGCTGGAAAGGGAGTGACGCTGGAATTGCTTTTCAGCCAGCTGGAAGAAGTGAAAATGGGCAGTTTTTGTGGCTTCTCATTTTTTCASGTCAAATGAGGTAATTGCAGGGGAAAGTTGCACCTGGCCCAGCAGAGCTCGGGTGATAGTAAATATGAACTACCCGGACAGAGATCTTCACTTGTGAAGGTTTATAGACATGCCAGGGCTGTAGCTGCTGTGGTCTAGGAGTGCAGCTGGACTCAGGACTCCTAAGGAAATGCCTCCGTTAGAAAGTAAGAGGGGAAACGTGAAGTAAATGCTACAAATTGACACTTTGCATTATATGAAACATAATTTAATAAATACAGGTATAGTACTTGCATACAATACTGTCTTACATCCTTGTGTTGGGATAAACAAGCTCTAGTAATTGTAAGCCTTCTTGTTCATGAAGACCTTGGTCCAATCACTGCTGGAAGGTCGCTGCATTAATAAAAATGATAGTGTAAGCAACTGGCCTGTGTCTTAATACTGACACCCGTTCAGGTCAGGAGGGGAAAGCTGTCAAAGGATGGAACTTGTGTCATTCTGGCAATGGTTTCTCAGTGAGAAGTGTGGAGTTCACTGATTAAATAACACTAGGACCTTGGGGGAGGTTGCTGGGGCTGGGTCAGGTGCACCTGCGTTTTCAAAAGGAATTTGCTTCCCCTTTCTGGGCAAGGGGTGAGYGCTCACACGTTGCCTTAGGGAAGAAACGGCAGCCGGGCCCAGCGTTTCAGCAGTGCCTGGATGGTGGCAGCAATAACGTCTACATTTCAACAGCGGCTGGCAGCGTTCGACACCACCGGCCCTGAATAACCCAATTGAAATGTTTCAAGTCCGTGGAATAAGGTTGGTTTTTATCAGCCTGGGTTTTTATCAGCCCGGTTTTTACACCGCCTGGGTGTGGATTTACCCTCCCCAMCCCAGCTCTTCGGAATGAGCGTGTGGATCCACCAAGGTGCAAGCACAGCCCTTTATGTCCCTGGGCGTCCAGCCCAGGCGGGAGGACACCCGTGGGACACCTCTAGGACTCCTAGCAGTCCTATAAAGCCCAAGCGTGGCTTTGCAAGGCTCTGGTATCCCTGAGGTGGCGGGAGGGAGGCAACAGCTCTGCTGCAGCGCTGCTACTGGAAGGGTGGATGCGTCACGGGGGCTGCTGCTGTGGTGTGTTTAGGGGGGAGATACTCCGGCCTGCTCATTGCAACAGTTCTCGTGAAGCAGCGGAGGTTCCCGGTCTTCAGGGCGCACTGCACCGGCCACAGAATGATGCAGAAGAGGATGATGATGAGCGCYGAGAGGAGGAGGATGCGCTTCCAGTCGTCGCACATGTCGCAGCGGGACAGCCTCCCCGCTAGCCCTGCCGGAGGGGGCTCTGGATCTTCAGGCTTGCTCATGGCCACGTCGATGGAGATGCACGAGTCTGGGTTCTCAGGGTCTTCTGATGCCTGGCGGCAGCAGAGCTTGGTCCCCTCCATCCAAAGCACCTTCTCCTGCTGGAGTTCGGGGGGCAGCGTGGCCAGGAGCTCCTTGCTGGTCTTGAGGGCTGGAGCCCCTTCCAGAGGGATGCTGGTGAGCTGCCTGCAGAAGGGGCATGGAAGTTGGTCCTCAGCTTGGTTGGGGGGCAGCCCCGTGCTCAGGCGAGCCACGCACTCCAGGCAGAAAACGTGGGAGCACTGGAGCAGCTTGGGCGTCTTGAAGGTGTTGTCGTAGGTGTTGAAGCAGATGGAGCATTCGACGGGGGACGTTGGCTTGGGAGAAGTTGGRTTGGGAGAGCCGGGCTTGTCCGTTGGGGACCTTGCCTTCCTCTTGCTCTCTCCCGGGGACGTGATAACGATGGGGCTGATGGGGATGGGAATTTCGCTGGGAGACGCAGGGACGGGGCTGGTGGGAGAGTCCGGGGGGTTGGACTGCCATAGGCGCGTGAAGCAGGACATGACGGAGCCTGAGGAAATAAACAGAGCTCTGGGAAGCTCTGGAAGAGAAGAAAACCACAGCTTTAGCTTTCAATAAATGTGAGGGCATCCATCACCAGGCCTCGTTTAGAATTCTTTAAAAGGACTAAAGAGCAAGTTCACAGCTTCCATGTGTCCTGAGCCTGGGAGAGAGCCTGCCAGAGGAGACAGTGGCACGTGCAGCCTCTTTGAAGCTGCAGGGTGAAGGCCTTGCAAAGGAACAAGCAACCAGCAGAGATCCAGCCTCCAGCCAAAGCCTGCGCACCAGAACCACCCTGGCAGGACGGACACCTCCCTTGGGGCAGAAGAAATAACACAGCAACAACGTACCCCGGCTGGTGCTTCCCAACACTGGGGAAGGGAGAAGAGCAGAAGACTCCATGAGGTCAAGTAGGGACCTTGCTATGGCAGTCTTTTAGTCTGGGAAGTTCTCAGATATTATGGTGGCAGCATGAGCAAGGCCTAAGAGACAGATAACACTATTCAGTTGCGGAGGCAGAAGAGGAGTGAACCTCTCTCCTCTCTGTTGTGCTGAGACAGAGCTGTGTTTATTGAATCGTGGTGCTGTGGGCTGCCTCATACCCCAGGAGGACACAAGGAAGGTGAGGAAGCACTAGGATCTTGCGGGATTTGGTCCATCCTCTGCCCGCCTCTACACACAAGGAGGGCAAGAAGCATCTCCACCTTGTCACCATGACACAGCAAGAAAAGCACCRCTGGAGGAAACGGCCTTGGGAACCAGAGCGGGGGGAATTCCTCACCGCTTCCTTGTTGCTCTGGTTTCTGTAAGGAAGCAAAAAAACTCTCCCTTGTCCTCAGCCCTGGCAGAGCAGCCCAAGCTTTGCACGGTGCTGCCAGGGGCTTTYTGCTTCGCGAAGGCTGGAGCCGCGCAGCTCAAAGCTGCTGCTTGCARGACAGCAGCTCCAGCAGCTCCGCCTGTAACTGAGCTGCTCCGACCGTTGCAGCACTCGCAGCAGCCATCCTGGCTGCTCAGACATTGAGCATTTAGTTTTCTGAGCTAAAAATAAGCGTTTAGCTGGAAGAAGTCCCCGGCGGTGGCCAGGGTGCTGCACAGGGGAGCATTTCTTTAGGCTATGTCACTGAACTGGCTGGGCTTGATTCCTCGCTCTGGGAGATTCTCCAATGACAGGCCAGAAGCTCTGCGATTGCTGGTGTAATTACAGGTCGCCAGGCAGTCAGGGGCTCACCAGCATCGCCTAGAGTTTTCTAGAAAAAAATGCCTAATTCGGGGTCCCCAAAAGGCTCGATATTGTTCACATTGCTCAAAAGGGAAGTTTCTGCTACTTGGGAATGAAGTATTCTCCCCTTTCCCATCAGCTCGAGCATGGCCAGAGCTGAAATCCTCTCRAAGAGCTACACTGAGGAGACAAACCTTGCCCATCTGTCATTAAAATGACCACAACTTGCCTCTCGGTTTAACTACCGACTCCTTTTTCTTCTCTCATTGTAAATGGAGATTCTTTTGGGAAGCCTCTCCTCAAGCTGCTGCCTCAGTTCTCCTCAGCGTGCTGCCATATGGTTTTATTTTTAATACAGAACAACATCTTCTCTCGGGCAGACCTTCCCACTCTCATTGCACTTCCATAGAACCTGCACTCAGTTTCCTCCCTGACGATCCAGGTTTTCCAGAAACATCGGGAACATCAGTAAACAACAAGGGATATGCATTAGCTCAGATTCAAAACTACATGCTTATTTAACCCTGCTAGATGTTATATTAAATAGTTTCACTTCCATGCAGGTTCTAGAAGTTGCTTCCACCACATAAAATCAAAGAAAACACACACTGTTAAGGCAGYGTCCAACAATATTCTGTGCTATAATTCCTTAATGGTATCTTTAATTCAGAGCASCCGAATAGCCAGCAAGTTAAGAGGTGCATAGCAGATTAAAGTCTACAAATACCTGCTCAGAGTGAAGTTTAGAAGGAGAAAAGCATGTTCTGGGCTCTTGATTTTTACCCCTGAAGACTCTTCTCTCCAGAGGACAGTCAAGCTCAGGCTCCTTTGTATTTACAAGCCTTCTTCTGGCATCCAGGCTCCCCAGCAGCTTTCCGACTTGTTTCCAAGCCCAGTAGGTCCAGCAAGAGCAGCAGCCTCTAAAAGCTCCCCGTGTAAAAGTGGCCCTGCCACTGTAATTCCAGTATCTTTTATACCTTCCTGGCTAGAGGTGACTTACCTGCCCCACCAGTCTTTCCCAATTACCACTGAATCATTCATTGGCTGCAAGTGCATTTCCACTCCGGGCCGGTTTCTATGACAAACAGGGCAGGCTGGAATGCTATTGATAAGGAATAGTACTACGGAAAACACACGCTTGTGCTGCACGTTGTATGAACAACCCTGGGAAATGTTTATTTATTCATTTTCTTGGGACCGGGCAATGCCTTCTGCTTTCTAGTAAATTCTTACAGCTCTTTACCCGTTTTCCAACTATTTCAGCTTATTCTTTAAAAGCTAGTCCAGATTTAAATGCTGTGTAAATGTACTGAGCGTGTTTGCACAGGGCAAGAGACGTTTGAAAGCTGCTTATAAATCAGCTGAACCACTCTGTACAATCTTGTGGCTGCTTCAAGATCCTATAGTGTGGAATAACTCTGGGTGCATTGTYAAAGAGACGAAATTTCATTCTTGCAGCTGTTGGTAGTATTTGATATAGAAAAAAAAAACAGGATTCAAACTGTACCTTTCTAATGGTTCACAAGCATCGGACCACAGGCCACAAAAATGAAATAAAAACACATATGTGCACATGCAGGTAAGAAAACAGATGTGGGAGAACAACAGCAATGGACAAACATTCCAAATTTAGCCTAGTTTTTAACTGCTTGCAAATAAAAATACCCTTCATTGCTCCATTTCTCAGAAGAAGACATGGATGATTTGTGGACATTTTCAGGGCACTCTCAGGAAGCCCTTTCTTAATGAATTGCTGAGAAGTCTCACTATAGATGTGAGGAACCATGTCAGTGTTTTGGGACAGGGAAGTGTCTAAATCCCATAGACCTGAGTGCCAGTTGGATGCATCTTGCTTTGGCTGTTCAGTTTYAGGCAGCTGAAACCCCAAAGCAGGCTTTCTGGAATAAGAAAATGTGCTGAAAATAGCTACATTTTGAAACAGTTTTAGGAAGAAAAGTGGGTTTATCTGCTGCTTCCACAGCCAGAAGAATCCGTGCTAGAGTGTTGCTCCTCCAGCAAATTTAGGTGAGCACCAAGGGTTTCTCTGGAGCCCCAAAACATCAAGGGACAGTGCAGGTTAAAGGGAAACTTTCCCAGATCTGCAGGGCAGCTCCGGGGCTCTATCCATGCGCTGTGCACATATGGCAAGCCATACATTACACTGAGCATCCCACAGCAGCATATGGTTCTCCCCCCTCTATTTATACTGCTTTTCAGGCATCAGGAAGGATGGCAGCAAATGGTGCCTACAGCTGACAGAGCAGGATCTTTGAGGAGTGCATGTAAATGAAATTTTTAAAAGTCCTGCTCACTTAGTCACTCGCCTAAGTGCTAAACTGGGCTCCAAATTAACCATATTTCGGTAACAGAGCTGGTTTGTAGCCACCACTGAGAAACAACAGCTTGGGTGCAGCGAGGATCCTCTTGTGGAGCACTCGGTGGAACGAGACTGACTCACACGTCGATAATCTTGCCCTCCTTCATCTTCTAAAGAAAACCCCATGCCCACGGTCAACCCTTTATGCATTGACAAGACCCTGCCTTGCCAGGGGAACTCGGGCTCTGCGAGGCAGGGGTGCGCAGAGACTTGCAGCCGCGCTGCAAGGAGGACCAGGGCTTTGCTGCAAGGAGGACCAGGACTTTGCTCCCAGGAGTAGGTGGGAACGGGCGTTATTTTTATCTTCTGCTCCGAGGAAGCCGGTGAGCGCGCCAGGAGCTGCAGCTGCTCCTGGGTGGCTCGCAGAGGACAGGCAGCGGCGAGCCGTGGGAGCACCAATTACCATGTTTGCACTTGGAGACGCAGGGGTAGGCAGCAGAAACAGATCATTAATGCTGCTATTCCCTCGAGTTTGCAAAACACATGCAAATAGAGYGCAGGGTAATAAAAACAGACCACGCTTCCCTCAGAGCTTTTGTTGTTGTTCCTCACTAAATAAAGACGGTTGAGAAGAAACACCCTGCAAAGGGCAGCGTGCTCACCCTGAGCCCTCCCTCAGCCCCTTTCTGGGCGTGCTACGTCTTGTTTATGTTTTGGCGACTGTTTATAGCTGCTTTCCTACTTTGTCAGGCTGCTGCCCAAGGGCCTGTGTGAAGCCCCAGGGCCTCCTTGCACCTTCCCGTCCTGCAAGAACCTCTGCAACACGTTGGGAGGACACGGGAAAGCAGTTGTGGCAGAACCAYRCAGTGATCCAGATGCTTGGACTCARAAACTCCYAGTACAAYGTGTTGTCCTCCCTTAGAAGAGACATCTCTGCTGGCTTCGTGGAGCTACACCTACTTTGCGGCAAAGAAGAAAGCTATGACTAAGACTAGATAAGCTTGTTTTAACCAGGCAAGAACAAACCCAACTCAGCCAAATGCCCCGGCACGGCACGGATCAGGAAGCCTGCACAGCATTCAGTGCTTCCCATGGGAGGAAGGTTGTGTCAACCGCATTCTCCACTGGCGCTTAAGTTCATACATCTGCTCCTAAGCTCCTGGAATCCAGGGAAAACACTCCTACTCTCCAGAGCTTCTGTGAATTTTGGCACAGGTCCACCTCTCCCACCTTCTTTCAGCTGTTAATCGGCTGGAAAAGAGACAGAGGGACAGAGTAGTGACTGAGTTTTCCTGCAAAAATATTCTCTGGCCTCCAGCTAACATCACTTTCTGATCCTACAGTGCTCCTCAGTCAGGAGCCCAGGTGCTCCAGAGTGGTAAACAGCATCATTAAGTGATGTTTCCCATGCTAGCTCATGGAGCTCTCTTATTTGCCCGGCTTCACGTGCAACTGGCTGCCTGACCAGGTGTTCACTCTAAAGTCTTCTCCTTGTTGCACCAGATTACTTAAATTCCAAAGTATGTATTATATAGTGCCAGGAAAGAGCCGTGGCACGGCACCAGAGAAGCTAGCTGGGAACCCACTGTGAGACGACTACGTTTGTCCCTCTCTAGATCTTTGTATCAGTCTCAAGACTCTTCTTTGGCATGGTGAGAGGCTTCTACTACTCATATTCATCAACATTTTTATCACAAATAAGTATTAGCAACATTTGCCTCATTTTACATTTGGGAGTTTTGGGAAGTGTCCAAAGCCCAACAATGAAAACATAGGACCAAAACACGTCCATTTAGGTAGTTCAATACCCATTTACGGAGAAACTGCTTCTGATAGATAGAACCACATGCTCTATGCCCCTTGAGCGACTCCCGTCCCAGGCCCATCCTCACAGAGCAGCTTCTGGGACCACAAGTCCCGGCAATTTTTCTCATTGACACTACGGATCTGCCTGGCAATAACTTTACACTGTTCCTCATTTCCTGTAGTGACCAGGAAAACACCATGATTAGATAATCATTACAAGGCAGAGATGCAACACAGCAATTTTCCAGATACTCTATAACTCAGGTGACTATTACCCTCCAGCCGCTCGAGGTGGGATGATTCAGCCACTCATGSCTAGATTCTCAAATAGCCGGAATAGCAGCCATTCCCTGGACATAAAATCAGGTCTTTTTCTTTGCCCATTATTTCTGAAGGAGTCAGTGGATCAAATCAACAGCCAAACTGCAGTTCTTGTGCCCAAGGACTGCACTGCCTGCTCTCTTGGATGCTGTAAGTGGTTTAAGAGCAACTGGATTTGGAACATAGTTTGCGTAAAGTCCATGGGAACCAAGTGACCCTCAAGCATGAACATGATGCTCTTCCCATRAAGTATCAAGAGAGCTGTTGCTGTTGCAAGCCCTAGGATAAGCGTGGAGAAGCCCAAAGGTGGCTACAGTCACAGCAACTCGCTGGTGAGAGAAACAGGACTGGAGGAGCCAGCAGCAGAAGCAAAGGGGAAGGCGATGTTGAGTTCTCACCAACACGTAATTAATTGCTCCCATGATTGCTGCTGCAGTGTTACTCATTTCCGCGCGCTGTGCAGTGACACGGCGAGCTTGGGAAATGGCCATGATGTCAGAGATGAGAACTGCATGTCTACAGGCCACCTTGCATCTCCAGCGCCTTTTTCTTACGGAGCCACCTGCCCTCTGCCCTCTGCTGGCTAAATTCTCCCGTTCCCCTCTTCCAAATCTGAACTGTGACGGACACAAGTTGCATCTGCACAGCAGGACCAGCGCCATCAGACACATCCTACCAGGAGGGACGTGCTGGGACRCTCCTGCATCTGATCTGGGGCATTTTGTGGTGTACCATACCTTGACTCCCATGCGTTGCTTCCCACCAGACCAAGCATGTTCTGATGGGGATGAGGGACTGGTTTCTCCGTGGTGCCTGTGGGAAGCGTGCACACCCTGCGATCTCTGGTTTCTCTACAAGACAGCCCTTTTTCAGGTTATAAATAGTGCGCTCTTAGCTGACTCACTTTGCCTTCTGTACCCCGCAGGAGTCCACAGCCTCAGAACGGGTCACAGTGACGAACCTTCTCAGCAACCTCCAAGATCAAGCGTGTCCTTCAGCTCTCTGCCGTGCTCTCCCCAGAAAGCAACAAGGCTTTGCTATATGCTCCTTTCTGCTGTGAATATGCGCCTTTTTGCTGCGAATATCATTCAGGTTTGTTTTACGTGTTCTTCAAACGCTACGGATGACRCAGACCTGCCTTCCTCACCCAGCAGCACCTATTCCTGCATGGCTCAAACGCGGCACAAAAGCAGTGCTGAGCTCGTTAGAGAATTATCGGTCTGGAAACAGGCTCAAATATCATAAAAGCAGGAGCTCGGTGCCTCCTCAGTGGCGGAGATAGTGCTGTGCCACTTGCATTGTCACTTTAGAAAGGAAAGATGAAGCCCTTTTAGAAGAGACGGGTCATCTCCATGGTGCTTCTTTAAAAAACATTGTTCTTATTATTGGTAACAGAGACAACATGCAGCAATTTTTATTTTTTTAACAGAAATGCTCACAGGTGGTGAGTTATAAGGCAC